GCTGAGCCACAAGGAAAAGTACTTCATGGCCCTATTTTTAAAAAGAGGTAAGCAGAGGCCAGAGGACAGGAGTCGGACCTGTGGACAGTCAACTTTGGGGATCCCAGAGCAGAGTGGGGTGGCACAAGGGTAGCCGGTGGGCTCCCTGCACCCGAGGAGGAAATCTGGCCAGAAAGAATCTGGCCAGAAAGAGGGGCAACCCCAACTGACATCCCAGTGCTTCTCACGATAAAAGAGGATTTCAAGGGGCAAAGCGTCTGCATTCGAAGGAGGTTTTTTTCCCCTTAATTAACCACCAGCTCCTGCCCAGCAGCCCCCTCCCAGCCACTGTGCCCGCTCCTACCAGTCTTCTCTTGGGCTTGATGAGTGGCCGGTTCTGCCCATTCATCTTGTGGTAGAGGCCGCAGGCATTGCACAGGTAGTGGCCGGTGCCGTCCCGCCGCCAGAGAGGGGTGGCTGTGGCCCCACAGTTGACGCACTCCCGGCCTTCTGCAGGAGAACAGGGAGAGACACAGGGCCTGCTTAACCCAAAAGGTCTCTGGAGGGAGCCTGTGGCAGGCGAGCTGCTGGCTGAGCAGTGCCGGTGCCTCTCAGTCACGAGGTCAGCCTGGGCCTGGCTGCGACGGCCTAGGCTGGAAGAGGGACCCAGAGGGTCCCACATGGGAGGGGACCAAGATTCAGAGTCATTTAAGGCCAAATCCCCCACTTCCAATCCTCCCGAGGAGGCCAGGAAATGAGGGAGGAGGGGCCCAGGGCCCCAGGCGTTCTGGAGCGACCACGAGGGTATTTACTGCAAACTTTGCTGAGGGCAGGGCGGTGGCAGGAGTCACCCAGCTCAACGCGTCTGGGCCCAGGAGGTTCTCTCCTTCTCGCTCCGGCCCGTCTCTTCCCCCCTCTTGTCCGTCTCCTTTCTACCCAGCTGTGTCTGCCCCTCCCTGTCTTTCTGCTCTAAGTCCAGGGTTATTTCCCTCTTTCTTCCCAACTTTTCTCTTCTTCCATGGAATCCCTAGAATTGAGTCCTGGAAATAATGGATCGAAATTGTTGTTCTTTAAAATAAAATAAATAATAAGCTCTTTCATTTTTAGACTAAGTGGCCTTGTTTTTTTGTTTGTTTGTTTGTTATTACTTTATTTTTTTCGGTTAAAAGGCTATCTGGAATTCAAATAAAATGCAAAACAAACTTGGGAGAAAGGATCAAGAAAAGGCAAGCTGATGGGCCTGAGAAGAACTAGGACCCTAAGCCAGGGCTCAGCGGGTGCTGGGGCCAGCCGGGGCTGGGGCTGGGGCTGGGGCTGGGGCTGGGGTCGAAGTTGAGCAGGACTGCTGCCTGGCATTGTGTTCCCCAGGAAGTTGTTCTTGATTTAGTTTAAACTAAATGAGCAACGCAGAGTAGCGAGAGACGGTGGTTCCTGCACTTTGGAGTAACTGTTTTAAAAACCTTCCCGCGCCGTGCCTCAACGGGATCAAGGAAAGAGACATGGACAGCAGGAGTCCCTCGCTAGCCAAGGGTTTCTGGGTTTCTGCTCTGCGGCCAGATTCTTGGACAAACCCAGTCTGGCCCCAGCCAGCTGCGGGAAAAGGGGCGGGGGCACTGCAGCTTCAACCCCTCACTCCAGCCCTCAGGGAGGGATAGGGAAGGGCCTGAAGGGGCCAGGGAGCAGGAGCAAGTCCTGGGAATTTTGCTTCAGGGGAAATCTCCCGAGGAGATTGGGAACCATTGAAATCCCAAGATCAGACTGATTGAGTTGGAGACCCAGATTCCTTAAGCATCTGGAATCTCCTGTGTTCCTGAAACATACACACAGACACACGTACACACATGCACACACGCTCCCTAACACATGCACATACAGACTCGCTTCCTTCGTCTCACAGGCTCAGTCCTGAGGTGGCTTGAATTTTCACTTAGGATTCAGGGAGGGGAAGGGGGAATTCCCATACTGTGTTCTTGTCAGGCAGTGACCAGCCCTGGAGGGGCGTGGGGCAAGGAACTCAACTTCGGGGGCCACGGGAAACCCTTAAGAAAATGCCAAAACTCCTCTCCTCAACCCTCGGGTCTCAAACATCTGTTGGGGGCTACTAGAGAGAGACATCACCCATTCCCAGATCTGGAAGACCAAAACTACCCCCTCTCCCAAGTCACAGCCCCCCACCACAAAAATGCAAATGCTCCCCTCTTCCAGTTCCCAGCACCTGCCTTTACCTGAGCAGGAACGCGCCTTGCTGCGCTGCTTAGGGGTGAAGCTGGAGGCCGGCCCCCCCAAGAAGCCTCCGGGGTGGAAGAGTCCACTGCTGTAGTCGTGGGCAGCCGCAGGCACATAGGAGGGGTAGGTGGGGATGGGGTGGTGTGTAGCAGGCTGACTGCCCATAGTGGCTAGGCCTGGGCGCAGGGGACTGCCACTTTCCATCTTCATGCTCTCCGTCAGTGATACCTGGTACTTGACGCTGTCCTTGTCCTCCCCTCGGGCTGCGCTACCCCCAGCGGAAGATGAGGCTGGAGAAGCAGCCCCTGTGGTGCTGGGGTCAGGAGACACTTCTTTGGGTGGCGTGGGTGGGAAGCCGAAAAGATGGGAGCCAGAGTGGGCTGCTGTGGGGGTGAGGGAGGCCACTGAGCTCCCGCTGCCTCCCCCGCTCCCACCCCCAGCCCCTGGGTACACAGAGAGTGGGCCTCCAGGGCCTCCAGCAGCTGAGGGGTGCAGTGGCGTCTTGGAGAAGGGGCTCACGGTCCAGGGGTTGTGGTGGTGGGCCGCAGCGGCAGAGAGGGCTGCTTTGCCCCCGTCCAGCCAGGGCAAACCCGGGCTGTGCAACAAGTGTGGGCGGCACATCTGGCCTCCAGTCAGGCGGGCTGCGGGCAGAGGGAGAGAGGGTCAGGGTGGGCAAAAGGATCAGGGTAGGCAGAGGCAGGGGCGCCCTGACAGACACGTGAGATCACGACTCCCAGAACAAGTCGTCATCCCCTCCCCAAAGAAAACCAGAAACATAACACCCCACCGATAATAATTAGGAATGTCAGTCCGAGCTGAAGGACAAGCGGCATAGAAGGAACCCCACCGGAGAGGCCCTACAGAAACCCTCAAAGGACAGCTGGAAATGGACAGAAATCCTATGGGTCCCAGAGCCTCCCCAATCGGCCGCTGCCCCCACCTTTCCCTCCCCGATTTTTCAGCAGCTCGATTCCTGCAGATCCCACATCCGGGAAGCGAGTAGCTGGGCCCTCCTCCCCTTCCTCGCCTGGCGCGCAGCTCCTGGGTTCCCATCCCCGCGGGCCCAGCGCTCACCGTGCGCCGGGCTGTAGGAGACGCGCGCCCGCGCGTGGGCAGGGTTGGCGTAGTAGGGGTTGCCCTGCGAGTCCAGGTGATTGAAGAAGACGTCCACCTCGTCGGGAGGCAACAGCTGCGCGGGTTCCATGTAGTTGTGCGCCAGGCCCGGGTGGTGCGAGTCGGGGTGCTGCGCATTCAGCACGGCCGGGTGCGCCATCCAGCGCGGCTGCTCCGGCGCCACCTCCATGGCCGGCGGCGGCGCCTCGGGCTCTGGGTGGAGGCGGCAACGGCCCTGTGCGAGGAAGGGAGCGTGAGGCGTGCCGCCAGCGCCTGACACCCCCAAAGTCCCACCACGAGGTGTCCTGCGCGCCACGGAGCCCCAGCCCAGCTCCTCCGAGAACGAGGACCAGTCCCGGGTGGGAGGAAGCCCAAAGCTCAAAACGAAAGGAAGGCGGGGGAGGGGGTTCAGCCACGCACACTCACGTGGTGACCCGCAGACCCAGAGCCACACACTCCTGCACATGGGGTCACACCCGGGGACGGGGACCGGCCCCGACACCAGTGACCCCAACAAACGCACAGAGCAGCACTTCAGTCAGACACTCATACTGAATCCCCCGCCCGGTAGACAAACACAGGAACACAGACTCAAAGTTGGAGACTAGGGCCCGGGCACCCAGTGGGGCACTTGATCCCAGAGACACACACCCACGCTTGGCGACAGATACACATACTGACCTCGACCCCCAAACACGCACACGCAGCCCCTAAGCGCAGTCCTAAGCGTCACAGCCAGAACCTCTCAAAAAGGCACACCAAAGCAGTCACCCGTAGCCTGGCCCCTCGCCTGGAGCCACCCCCCAGTCCCCTCAAAGCTAGGAGCGCCCCAGGCCCCCAGCCTGCTCATGAACCCCAAACTTACAAACGCAGCCGTGAGGAGGGGAGGGACGCGGCCGCTAAGAGTGAAGGAGCTCGGGAGGGAGCCCCGGAGGCGACGGGCCCAGGGACAGCGAGTCCGGAGGCTGGCGGGGCTTACAGGATAGGAGCGGGGGGTAGCGCGCGTCTCGGCCTCGGGCCCGCCCGACTCCGGCCCCTCGGCATCCTCCGGCCGCCCTGGCGCCAGCTGCCGACTCCTGCACAGACATGAAGCGGGGGCCGCGCACGGCTAAGAAGCCCACGCCAGCCAATCAGTGGCGCGTGCCGCCCAACCTCCGCCTCCCATTGGCTACGTCCGCAATTCCCGAACCGCTGGACTCCGGGACTGACCCGCTGGCCTACCCCCCTCCGCCGGCGGGCCCCCTCCCTGCGCACCCCAGGCGGCCCCTGCTGCCAACGCGCCCCACTACCAAGGGACCCTCACCCCAGGCTCGACCCCTGCAGCCCCTCTTGCGAACACTCCGGGATTCCTCGACGCTCTGGGCCTCCCTAGCAGTAACTAACCACCAACTTCCCCCCTCCGCAGGAGCCCTGGCCGCGCACACCCTCTGGATGGCCTCTCCCCGAGACCCTAACCCTGCCACAATCCTTCACCGCTGAACGCGGTCAGTCCGAGCGCGGCTACCCACCCAGACCGTTCCCTCCCCCAGCTCCAGCGCTGGCTGGGCTGGCGGGGTGTTGGGAGGGCCCAGAGGACCGCTGCAGGACAGCAGGAATCGAGACGGGCAGAGAGGGGCAGGAACTACAGGGCCCTAGAGGGCACCTGAGCCTCAGACACGCGGCCGCTCAAGGGCTGTGCTTGACCCAGTGGAGGTGGCAGAGCCGGTGGCTCCAGAGAGAAGGAGGGGGATCCCCTCCCCGGGCGTGGCCTTCGAAGGCCAACGGGCCCAATGGCCTGGGGCGAGGCCGTGGAGACCCGGACTGGCGCCGGCGCCAGCTGGAGGGAGACGACCCCGGGCAGAAGGTGGCATTTTTTCCTGCCGGGGGTCCCCGAGGTGGCCTCTGGTGAGGGGGAGGCGGTGGTCTGAGGTCTCCGTCCCCTAAGTCACCTGAAACTGCTCCCCACTCACTTCCTGCCCGGCGATCCGGCTCTATGGGTCGAGTAGGCTGGGCACATAAGTCTTGCCCCCTCCCACTGTACAGACAGGGGAGACGGAGGCTCGAAGGGAGCCCCAGGCCGACGGGGGGGGTTCCAGGACAAAGGCATTTGGGGGGACCTAGACAGGTGCTGAGTACTGGGAGGACTGAACCGCGTCCTCCAGCCCTCTTCCCTGCTGGGCCCGAGGCTCCCGGGGCAGAAGTCCAGAGGGCCCCCAGGTGGGTCAGGGGCAGGAGGAGGGCTGGGGTCCGGGCCACCCCCAGGAGAGTGGGGGAGGGGCGGCGGGATTGACAGTCGGTAATTGGGTAACTGGAGGCGGCTTCTCAGGCCGGGCGGCCCCGCCACCGCGACGCCGAGCCCCTGACGTCACCCGATTCGCCAGGAAATGAACTTTTTAATAATCCGAGGAGGGAGGAAAGCCCTCGGTCCCCTCCGCTCCGGGGGCGCCCGGCTGGGCCCAGCTCCGCGGGCGCGCCCCCGTCACCCCCTCCCCGGCCAGCTCAGGGCAGCGCCGAGTGGGCGCTGGCTCAGGCTGGGGCTTCCTCCTGCTTCTCCGTCTGGCGTCCGTTTGTCTGTCCGAGGCCCAAACGCAGGTAAACCGCGGGGCTTGGGGGGGCGCAGAGCTCCACTGTGCTGGGAACCAGCGTGTCTAGTGCCCTGGGGGACCTGCCTGCCGGAGCCGCCTGCTGATCCTCCCGCTCCCCTCCACTCCGGGGCGCGCGGAGTCGGGTCTGCTCCGAATTCCACTCCGCGGGAATGGAGGCCTGCGCCAGCCGGGAAAGACGCGCGAGGCGGGAGGGAGAGCGCTAGGTCCCCGGCGCCGGGCCTCCGCGGCCAGGCCGGGCAGGTGAGCGGTCTCGGTGCCTCCCGGTTCCCGCTCCCCTCTACGCGTGCAGTCCGGCCGGGCCACTGTCTCTCGGTCGGTCGGTCTCTCAACTTCTCCCGTCCTTTAGCTTACGATTCTTCATCAACGCGTAAAATGAGATCGCAGCGGAACTCGAGCCTATTTGGCGTCTCCGGAGCCTAGCAGGACCCTTTGAAAGACACCGCGGCCCCGGGGATAATCCCCCGCGTCCAGCAAAGCTGCCCTGCTCGAGCGCGAACCCTGGGACCCAGCGCGGGAGGCAGACCTGCAGCTGTCCGCTGGGCTGTGAACGCCAGGGCCGAGCGGAAGCTTCCCGCCCGGCCGCGATCTGCGCGGCGGCTCGCAGGGAAGTGTCTGCACACCGCCCCCGGAAAAGCAGGTAATTCGCCTTTTTCTCCCAAAGGCGCGATAAAAATTACCCCTCACCCCCCGCCTCCGTTCTGTGTGCAGCCGCAGTTTCAGCGCCGCGAGCTCGGTGCCTAACCCATCCGCGGCGGCGTCCTGGCTACTGCGGTAGTGGAGGTGGCCAGCCTGACTGAGTCCCCTGCCCAAACGTCAGCCCTGCGCTGCTGCCTGCCTGGCGCAGAGCGGAGCGAGGGAAGGGATTTAATTACCCCGCTCGGCAGCTCAGAAAATCGCCGCGCAGAGAGGCTTAGCAGGGCGGTTAAGGAGTGCTTAAGCCGGAGCCTCAGGAGACCCGAACCAGCCTCCTTGCCCGAAATCCGGTTGTGGCGGAAAAAAAGGAAAAAGGAATTCTGCCAGGTCCTTGCAGCCCTTGGAGTTGCCTTCCTTGACAACGCAGGCAAGGGCAGGCTTAACTGAAGCCTCCACCTCGGTTGCAGGTCCTGCGTAGGATGCGGGACTGCTGCATTCTCTGGCGGAAACGCACCCGCCTGGGAGAGAGAAATGCGGCGCCAGGTAGCAGGAGGCCCAGCTGGCCAATAAATGGGGACCTGCGCTCGTGAATGTCTGTGTGAGCCAGACAGACCGACGGACACCAACCGGGCTCCTCCCCACTAGACCGGAGACACCATCCTCCCACCTCGGGCCCCAAACAAACTCCTGGGGAGGCTCTATGCAGCCCCCAGAATCGGCTGGGATCTTGAGGCGCTGTTCCAGGCCTCTTGAGAGCAGATTTACTCCAGTTTACGGCCTTGAACTTTGGGGTCCCCAGATACCTTCAGAAGCACACATTCCCTTTTTCAGTATTTTGTTCGTTCGGGGAGCATAGTTGGAAATGCTGGCGCTGCCTTTGATCACATTAAGAAGCTGTCACTTTCCTTACTTGGGAACAAGATTTCTCCGAGGACTGGAGTTAGCCAGGAAACAGAAATTTCTAAGGACCCTTTTCAAGTGGCCGGAGAACTCACAGCGGCGATCGTCACTGTTTGAGTGAGTGCTTCTGCCTGGGAGGCAGCAGATTTGGTGCTCGGTTCTAGAGTGCTTCGCCTGCCTCTCCTAAGCCGCTGGTCTCAGGCCGGACACAGAGCTGCCCAGGTCTCCCGGGCCGTGCAGCCCTCTGAGCCCTTTGTTTAAACTTAGCTCATCCGAGGCGGCCCCTTTGGGACGATAAGTTTGCCCTTCCTTTGTAACCTAATTCTTCTCGCCTTTTCCTTATGGGCAGCTAATTGGCCCGCGGTGTGGGGCTGGGAGTGGGGTGTCAAGAAAACCCATTTGCTAAGGGACTACCTTCTATAGAGAAATTTAATTCGCAACCCAGCCGTCTCCCAGCCCCAAATTGGTAATAAACCTTGAGGGGTACAGAGAGGAAGTGGGGTGCCTTAGCAGATGGGTGCAGAAGTTTCCTTAAAGACGAGTCATTAGATCTCAGGCCAGCAGTCATCCTTCCAGAGGGGGTGCCCGAGGGGGGACTACGGCTATAACGGCCCCTTCTGCTCTTTGGGGTTCAATTCCAGCCCCCCAAATCAGAAGGCTTCCTCCCTCAGCCTCAGTGCAGTTTCTCCCACCCCATTCCTGTTCTGCCTTTTTGGGAATCCTAGAGTCTGTGGCCCCCACGTCTTAGGTGTCTCAGTACCCTGGACCCCGGCGCCTCCGAGCTTCTGTATTGCTTCTGACCCCTACATTCAAGCCTGGCAGCCTCCCCACGAGGCCCTGCTGAGACCCTCAGACAATCCAGCCGGCCTTCTCCCTCCTCCACGAACAGCCACGGTTTACTCGGAGCGGCCGGAGCCGGCGGCCTGACAACTGGTAAATCCGTTTCGTTAGACGCAATTTGTCTGCGATTTGTCAACCCGGCTGGGAAACGCTCTCCAGACGCCTGGGCTGCCGCACGGGCCCTACCTGGTTCTCAAATCCTGCCTGCTCATAAACGAATCCCAGCACGGGGTGCCTGCGTAGACCTGGAGCTCACCACCAGATGTTCCCGACCTCGGAAGAGGAGGCTTTTTCCAAAACAACGAATTTCCTTCCTTGTTTTCCGGTAAAGGAGCGGCCGCCACACACGGGGGCCCTGAACGCGAGGCCTTTCCCCTCGTGGTTGGAGCAACCCGGAGTTCAAGCCTGGCCGCCACCGAATAATTTTAAATGCCCCGTTTTCAAACAGATCCAGAACGTCGTCTACGCCTACCGGCGGCAGATTCTCAAGCCCGCGGCGGCCCCATTCTTATTGAAATCCTACTAAACGGATTCCGACTCCAGCTTCAGGCGGGGGGAGACTTCCAGACCCGGCACTCTCCCCCACCCGCACCTCAGTCACACAGGATAAAGGGCTGCGTGGCGCAGCGCGCGGGGGCGCGAGCAGGAGCGAGCCGGGTTAAGCCGCGAAAAGCCGGCGCACGGGACCATCCGGCAGGTGCAGCCGCCGGTCTGCGGCCCTGCTCGGACGCATTCGCCGCGGCAGCCTGGGGGTTGGGGGCGGCCGAGACAAAGGCCCCAGTTCGGGGGCCGGGAGGCGGGGGTACTTTGCGAGGCTCTGGGAATGCCAAGGACTGTTGGCCTGTGGCTCCGAGAAATGGGAAGACTGGAGGCCCCAGGCGGGCCTGCTGTCCCCAAGTCCCCAAATACTCCCTCTGGTTCAAGTCCCTATAATCAGGGTTTCCGGTCTCTGTCAGGGCCAAGGAGAGCCCCAAAGATAGGGGCCACAGGGCAAACGGACCAAGCGATTCGGTGCCCGGCTGGCCGGGCCGGGGGCGGGAAGGGCCGGGTCCAGGCGGCTGGAAGTGGAAGGAACTCACCGAGCTAGGCGCGGTGGGCGGCGCCCCCGGGCGGACGTGGTCGGAGCGGAGCTGTGAGCAGGGAGAGGTGCCGGCGGGCGGGCTCGCAGAACCTGGGCGCGGGGTGGCGGCGCTCACCAGCAGAGCCTGGGCGGCGCGCCGAGCGGCCGCATGGTGCTCAGCGGACGGCTTTTGTCCGCCTGGTGGGCGACGGGGCCCGGCTAGGGTGGAGGTGGCGGCAGGCAAGAGACAGACTTAAGCAGCGAGCACCGCGGCGCTGGCCTCGCTACCTTCCTCGCGCTCACGCTGCTTCTCTCTCCCCCACCGTCCCGCAACGCGGCTTTTTATTTCGACATCACTTTGCGGGGGGGCAGGGGGTGGCGACGGGGGCGGGAGCGCCGCAGGGGGCAGGAGGGTGCCCGGGGCTCTGCACCCGGTCTACCAGGTCCAGCCGCCAGGCCGGCCGAGGGCCGCTAGGCACTCAGGGAGCGCGCATCCTGTGCATCCACACTCCAGGCCTCTCCCGCCCTCTCCGGAGCGCACACGCGCGCCCCTGACCTCACGGATGCTCGATCAGAAAGCCTGGGATACGTCTTTACTGAGACTCCCCCCAGGGACCCTCAGGAGCTGTAGGCACTCGCAGTCACTCACAATGGTACACAGACCCCGCTCCTCTGTCTTCAATCCACTTCCAGGAGTGCTCGCACCGACATGCACACGTTTGTACACATGTGCACGCAGCTGTGGCCCTGAGGACATTCTCAGACGGCTTGGATCATACCGACACACAAGGCCACACACTCAGATGCAGCTCCGCACACTCAGGACGCCCTCACAGCCAGACTGTTTAAGCTAAGTGCAGAGGCACAGCTCCTCTCCCTGTCCCACCCCCACTCCAGTTCCTAACTCTGGGGGACCCAGAGCACTTTAGAAGTCCACCGTCTGGCGTCCCCTGGCCCATCTCCCAGGGGTAGACTCTCACAAAGGGGGAAACAAGGAAGGGTGCAGAGGGCTTGTTCACGGAAGTGGGGGGCAGGAGGTGGGGAGAAGGTGAGTGTGGGAGTCCTCATCCCAGGATGGCCCCCGAGTTTGTGGGCAAAGAGAGTCCAGTCCTTGTGTTGCCAAAGTTCTTACTAAGGGATTCAGCCAGCCAATGTCTCCCCCCACCCCCCACCCCTATGATTCCCATTCCATCAGACCAGGGAGGGTGAAAGTGGCCTGGGGACCTTGGACCCAGAGAGAAAGTCCTTGGCCTTGGAAGGACAGGGAAATTTGTATTCCTGTGCCCAGGTGTGCCACAGAGGAGTGTGTCTGTCCCCTGATCTTTGTGACACCTGCTGTCTATAGGTCTTTCTCCAAATCTGGTGGTGACTATTGCATTGTGTGTGTGTTCTATGCATGTGGCCCAAAGCCTACGTCCTGTGTGCCCAGGTGTGTCTGCATGCATTTATGATCACATCAGGAGTGTCTGCAAAACTGGGTATATAAGTATGTCCATTTCTTCTTGTGGGTTCCTGAGAGTTTGTGTATTGGGCAGTAGGTCACAATACGGCTATTTCAGATCATGACCCTGGAACTTGGCACGAGAGAGTGTGTCTGTGGAAATGCTTGTGTGTCCCTTTGGCTCTGTGTCTGTGGGGTCATCATGTCAGAGTCTCATGTAATGAGGGGGTGGGGATTTCCAAGTGTTTGCCTGAAAATTAGAGTGTGTCCTGTGTTTGTAGCAGTGCGCGTGCGGCATGTCTATGAATTGGTGTGTTTTGGAGTGTGTGTGTGTGTGTGTATGCATATATCTAGGCATGTGTTACTGTGTGTCTTTTTGTTGTTGTTGTTATTGTTTGTAAGACAGGGTCTTGATCTGTTATCCAGACTGAAGTGCAGTGGTTCCATCACTGCTCACTGCAGCCTCAACCTCACAGGCTCAAGCCATCCTCCCACCTCAGCCTCCTGAGTAGCTGGGACCACAGGCATGTTTCACTATGCCTGGCTAATTTTTTAATTTTTATTTTTGTAGAAACACAGTCGCACTATGTTGCCCAGACTGGCCTCGAACTCCTGGACTCTAGCAATCCCACCTCGGCCTCCCAAAGTCCTGGGATAATAGATGTGCATCACTGCGCCTGGCCTGTGTATGTCTTTAATAGTTTGTGCCTGGGTATCTGCATGTGTCCTTGAACTGGTGTATGTGTAGGTATGTGTGTGTATGGTGTGTTGCATGTGTCTGGATATCCATGTATAATTCTGCAACTGATGGCTGTGAGGTGTGTGTATTTGTGTATATGAACATTCGTTTGGCTGTGTGCATGCCCAACTGTCTTTAACATAGGGTATCAGTGTGTATTGTTTTATCTTTGAACTGCTGGTGGGGAGGAGATGTATCCGAGCATGTCTGCATGTCTATGTACAGCTCCATGTATGAATTGATGTGTGTTGGCGTGGGCATTTGTGTCGCCTATCTGAGTTGTGGGCAACTATACATATGACTACATCTTTGAAATGCATGTTTCCCTGGCCAGCGCAGCCCTATTCTGTGGACTGTGGAGGTGTGTGTCCTGGGTGACGCCGGGGGAGGGGGTGCATCCTCCAGGATCACCCACCATCCAGACCTTCCTTAACCAGCAGGGCAGGCTGCCAGTGGAGCTCCAGTGTACCATTTGCTGGGCACTTGCTGTCTGTGGGAGGGGAGATGAACTGATAAGCCTTATCTGCTGTCGCCAGCGCCATGCTGAATAACTGCTCTAATGAGGTGTCCTCGTTGGGACCACCAGATCCCAAGGCCCCGGGCCTCACCAGGGAGGGGCATGGGCGAGCTAGTCTGAAGCACAAGAGCAGGGCCTGGGTGCCTATGGGGCCTTTTCTAGTTCTGTCTTGTTTCCTTGGAAAGGGGGTTGCAGGCCTTCCACCTCCCCACCTCACCTGCCTCCTGCCTACTGGGCAAGGCTGGACTGGCCAGACCAGAGCTGGCTGGAGCCTTCCAGTCTCTGGTCTGCAGCCAGGTTCATAGCCTTGAGAGGCAGGAGGTATGAGGCCTGGAGGTGTGGGGCCCTCAGGGTGGGGTGGATGGAGAGAAATGGAAATCCAGTGACAGAAAGATCCAGAGAGACAAGGAGTGGGGAAAGACAAGGAGTGGAGAAAGAGATGGGAGGCCCAAGGACAGATTTTTAAAAACAATAAGGGAGAGGCACTGGTTGGGACAGGGCTAGGGGTTGGGGACACTCAGGGACAGAAACAACCAAAAAGTGGCAGAAAGGAGGTTGACCCAGCTCCACTGGGTCACAAAGATGGGAATAAAAGCAGAGAAGGTGGTAACCAGAGAGACATAGAGACATGAGAGATAAGAGAGGCTGGAGAGATAAGAGAAAAATAAAGAGATGGGAAGAGAACCCCAGAGAGGCTCAAAGAGCCACTGCAAGATGGGGGACAGAGGTGAGAAGGGCCCCGGAGAAGAGTGGGGACACAAAGTAAGGATGGGCTGGATGGGACGGACAGACTGAGATGGAAAGGCAGACGGGGCTCAGCCGCCAGACTCGAAGCGCCGGGTGCGGGGCGAGGCCGGGCTGTGCAAGAGCTGCGGGCCGCCGGCAGGGCGGGGCACTGAGGCGCGGGCGGTGGCGGCGGGCAGGGGGCTCCGCGCGGGGCCGCGCTGCTGTCCCGGGTAATTTTTCATCTCGGCCGGCTAATCTTTGTTCCCGGCGAAGATAATGAATAGCCAATCGTTATCTGCCCGGCTCCCGGAGGCTGCCCGAGAATGGGGTTGTACGGGGCTGGGAATTGTTTCCAAAGTGCCGCGGAATAAATGGTGTTCCTTATCTCTGCCTTCCAGATTATCGGAGCCCTTTCAGAGAGCGCACAACAAATGCGCCCGCCATCGAATGCATCATTTACCACCGCAGATCCGCGCGCTGATGGCCAGGCAGATAGCCGTCCGCTGGGGGCACGCGGGCGCCCCGTGCCCGAACCACCCGCCTGCCTGCCAGGGCCACGGAGTGTGTGCCCCTGTATGCCCGGCGTGTTTGGACGGACACGTGGGTATGCCAGTGCATGGACTAACGCCGATGCGAGTGTGCGGGTGTGTCAAACAAGTGTGCCACAAAAAAGTGCACATGTGCGAGTCCATTCATGCACATGCATGGCGGTCGTGTGCGTGCTGAGTGCCCGAAGGTAACCGATGAGGCGGTTGGAGGGTGCACAGGAGGCGGTGTTGCACTGAGCATGTGAGCAGGCATGCGGCCCAGGGTGGCTGGACACGTGGTGGAGGAATGGGAGTGCAAGCCCGCGTGTCCGAGTGCAGAGGATGAGCGTCCTGCCAGTGCCTCACTGTGTCTGCCCTGGAGGTGGCTGTTTAGGAGGGCACGCTGGAGGCCACTAGGGTCGATGTGCGGTGTGTATGCAGGTGCCCACCCTGAGTTGTGTTTCAGGGCACACAAGCTTCCTGTGCCTGCTGGAGGTGAACGTGCAGGTGTCAGTGCTCCCTCTGGGCGTGATTGTGATGTGCTCGGGTCTGCATGAGGCTGTGTGTCCTGCTGTATCTGCCCAGGTGTGCCCAGGTGAGCTGCGTGAGGGGCACGGGGGAACTGCAGTAGTTGGGGCCTGTCCGTGTGCCAGCGTGAGTAGACACTGGGCTGGGGAAGCGACAGGGAATGGTGTGTGCGCTTGTGACAGACGCCAGAGCGGCCAGGTGGAACGTGCTGTGTCACAGGAGACTTTTTGGCAGAAAACGGAGTGTGCGAGTGTAGGAGGAGGGGCCGTCCACGGAGTTTGGGGACACCCGGGGGTCCGAGCCCCAGAGCCTCCCCGCCGGAGCTCTGCAGCTGGGGCAAGGAAGCCCGAACCCGCCGCCTGAGGTCCCCATGCCGTGAGTGACACGCGCCGCCGACAAAGGCTGTATTTTTCCAGGCTCGCACCCCGCCCGCGTGCGCGCGATGGTCCCCATGGCGACGCAGATAGCGCCGCAGCCATTTTCCCTATCTCCCCGGAGTCTATTATACTGCGGGATTAGCTCATCTCCAGGCAGGTCAAACCCAAAGTCACACAACCTGCTACGCGAGCCCCGCCCCCGCTCCCCGGCCGCCCCTCCCCCGCCCCGGCCCGCGCCCGGGCCCGAGTCTGGGCCCCGGCCCGGCGACCCCAGCCGCTGTCCAAGAGCAGGCGCAGAGCGCCACCTGGCGGCTGCGGTGTCTAGGGTGGAGTCCGAGGAGCCGGCTCCCGTGCAGAAGAGGTTGGGTGACGGTCTCTACCTCCAGAAGGCGGGCTTTCCGGGAGCAGGGGCTTTGCTTTGTCACTGCTGTTCCCCAGGGCCAGGCTGACACACAGTAGGTGCTCCATAAGTGTTTGTTGAAAGGATGGGTGAATGGATGGGCAGGAAATTATAGACGGGGTGGGCGGGGGTGGGGGCAAGCTGCCAAAGGCTACAGTTTAGTTGGCAGCAAGAAATCGTTTCTGAGAATGCATCCCACAGAATTTAGAATAAAAGCCAAAAACGCCAAACTCTTAGAACCTATGTAGTGGCCCTTACTGACCTCTCAGACCTCATTTCCTTCTTCCTTACTGCATCCACAGTGGCTGTCTTCCTGTTCCAGAGCGTTCCATCTCAGGTCCTTTGAGTCTACTGTTCCCGCCGCCCCGAGTGCATTCCACGTCCACTCAAGTGTCACCCTCCGAGAGCCAGGTTGCTCCTTTGTGCCCCACTCTTCCCTGTGAATTTCTTTCTTTTTTTTTTTTTTTTTTTTTTTTTTTTTTTTTTTTTTTTTTTTTTTTTTTTTTTTTTTTTTTTTTTTTTTTATTTTGAGATAGAGCCTTGCTCTGTTGCCAGGCGCCAGGTTGGAGCGCAGTGGCACGATCTCCTCTCACTGCAACCTCCGCCTCCCTGGTTCAAGCAATTCTCCTGCTTCAGCCTCCTGAGTAGCTGGGACTACAGGTGCACGCCACCAAGCTCAGCTAATTTTTGTATTTTTTTAGTAGAGATGGGGTTTCACCATGTTGGCCAGGATGTTCTCAATCTCTTGACCTTGTGATCCGCCTGCCTTGACCTCCCAAAGTGCTGGGATTACAGGCATGAGCCACCGCGCCAGGTCCTGTGCATTTCTTTCATAGTGCTTAACACAGTCTGAAATCACCTCGCCCCTGTGTGCCTGCTGTCTGGCTCTCCCTCTAGTATGCCAGGCTTCTTGTGGGGGTGGGGGCTCTGTTTTGCTTGTGGCTACAGCTCAGCAACTGGAATCATAGCTGACAATTGATTGGCATCAGTCGAAACTCTGGGAATGAGGGAATGAGGATAGAGGGGCCTGGACGGGCTTCATCATTGTCATTTCTCTTTATCACTTCGGGAGCTCCTCTTTCCCCCCCATGACTTTTTGCAAGTCATTCAGCAGCCACTCCAGCCCCACTGACGTGCTCCCATCCCAGAGGGACCTGGGATGGAGGGAGAGAACTACTGAGGCCCCTCCACATCCCTGCACCCGCTGTGCCCATCAGGGCGGAGAATAATTCTCACCTGGCTCTCGGGAGCTGTGGCCTCTCTAGGGAGGGCTGGCCTGCCAGCGAGACTTCACTCATAATACAAGATAATTACACCAGAGTTGTCATGAGGCGGTGATGATTAATTGCTGTGTGTGGGCCACACACCAACAGCGAGGCATAGAGAGCAAAGAGAAGGCCTCAGCCCAACAGGGCTTCCAGGTGGGAGCTCGCCCTGCCCATCTCTGCCCTGGAAGGGGCTCAGCAGGCATCAGGCCAAGCTTAACCTGCCCAGGCAGGCTTGGGACAAACCCTGGGAGAGGGCCTTGGCTGGGACCTCTGAGAATTAGCTTCACTTCCCTCAGAAATGCCCCAATTCCTTCCTGGAAGAGGAGCTGTGTGACAGCTCAGGTCAGGGGGTCAGGACTCCCCCATCTCCTCCGAGCACACCCACCTACATACCCCTAACAGCTGGGTGGCTGGACGAAAGTCATTTTTCTGCTCTGAGCCTCAGGGTCTCCCTCTGCCCACCTCCCTCCAGGATGACTGGGAGAATTATGTGTGAGCGTGCATTTAAAGAGTTGTGTTTTGTAAACCCAGGCTTTGCAAATTGGCAGCCCAAGTCTCAGGGGCCTGTGCAGTGACCGATCATTGCCAACATTTCGAAGTAGAAAGATGTCATGTAAAGAACGTCATTTCCAGCTTCTCTTGAAAAGTTGTAAGATGAGCCACCCTGGGACTGTATTCCTGAATGGCAACGTAAGGGTGGAGTCCTGCAGCATCACCACCTATGATAGTGTGCACCAGGGTTCCCACCCATCGGCTGCAGGCCCTCGGGTCGGGGATGTGCCCCTCATGGAAACACCAGTTACTGTGGCTGTGTTGGTTTTGGCTTTCCTTCTCTGTAGCCTTCCAATATCTTTCTCCCTCGGGGTACTGTAAACCACTTAGTAATTAATTAGTTAATAAATTAATCTAATCAGCACTTTTAAATAATGTGCTAGGCCACACTGTGGTGGACCCCAGATGGACAGCAGCAAACCAAACAGCCATGGGACCTTCCCTCAGGGAGCAATCAGTCCAGTGGAGGAGTCAGATATGACTCACCACACAGATGAAAAACTCTCCACAAATGATGAGACTGCTGAACATAGATGGGCTGCGGCTGGGTCCAGGCTTACTTGCAGAGATCTACGTTGGGCCAGGCCCTGTGCTAGGCAGCAGAGGACATGGAATAAAATTGAATATGGTCACTGTGTGCAGACAACTCATGGTGTGGTAGAGGAGCAGCCCCCAATCAACAGGTTCTGTTTTTTCCAGCCTGTGAGAATTGGAACCACAGGGTGAATTTTGGAAGAGAGGAACTTACACTAATCTGGAAGCATAATATATAAAGAGTACCGACAAATCAATAAAAAGAAATACAATAAAAAAATGAGCAAAGCATATGAACAGAAAATTCAATGAAAAGAAAATAGAAATGGCTCTTAAGTGAATGAAAACATACTCTCACTCAGAGAAATGAAAATTTAACACATGTCAAGATACTTGGGGTGAAGGAAGTGTTCTAAAATTAGATTGTGGTGATGGTTATAACTCTGTACATTTACTAAAACTTATTGAAGTGTATGCTTAAAACAAATGAACTTTATAGCATGTCAGTTATATCACAATAAGGCTGTTTTAAAAATAAAAACACTTTGAGATACCATTTTATACCTGTTGGTATTAGCAAATGTCAAAACACTGGATAACGCATCATGTTCCTAAGGGCATGGGGGAGACGGCCTGGGGCAAGTGTCCACTGATGCACTCTCGGGTTGGGATGAGCAACAGGACGCTGTGAAACTTACAAATATATTTACCCTTTAAGCTGGGAATTCCACTCAGGACTTTATCTGATAGATATGCTTTACATCTGTAAAATTTATCAGGAAATTCACCGCAGCCTCATAGATTATGGCAAAAGTTTGGAAACAAAAGATGTTCATCTACAGATGAAATGCTATGCCACTGTTGGAAAGAGAGAGAGAGAGAGAGAGAGAGAGAGAGAGAGAAAAGAGTGAGAAAAAGGAAAAAGTAGCTCATTGCATACAGATACAGCATAATCCCAAGATAGAATTCTTGTGAAAATAAAGGTGCAGTACGTGATGTGTTACCACTTGATTAAGAACTGGGCAAGGAGAGAAAATATATACATTTGCTTACATATTTACAGAATTTCTCTGGATGGAAAACAAAAGAAGATGTTAACAATGGTTGACAACTACTTGGGTTTGGGACCTGGGTTTGGGTGGCTGGGGACAGGGATGGGAGAAGGATTTTCATGGTGTACTTTTTTGTTCCTGTTGAAATTACATAGATAGGTGATAGGCAGAGCTAGAGAGCTATCCACGTGCACACATACATACCCACATGTATATATACCCTATATGGGAAAATGAGATTAAAATGCAAAATGATAACTTTTTGACTAAAATAAAGATGGAAAAAAGTTTTCCAAGAAGAAAAGTCAGGGGAAAATTCCAGCCGCTGACTAAAACGTAAAGAAACAAGAATTCCCTTGCCTTATTGCCAGGAATGTAAATTGTTCCAACTATTTTGCAGAGTAATTTGGCTGTTTCTGGCAAAGCTGAAGATTGGAATGCCACATGGCCCAGCCAGTCTTCTTCCAGGGATATGAGAAGCCCTCACACATGAGCAAGAAAGAGGTGTGTCCAAAGACATTCATGGAGCCCTATTTGTTAAAAGAGAAAGAAAGAAAGAAAGAAGTTAAGAAATACCCAGCCTGGGCAACATAGGAAGACCCTATCTCTACTAAAAATAAAAAGTTTAAAAACTAGCCGGGCATGGTGATACACACCTGTGGTCCCAGCTACTTGGTAGGCTGAGGTGGGAGGATCACTTGAGCTCAGAATATCGAAGCTGCCATGAGCTGTGATCGTGTCATTGTACTCCAGCCTGGGAGTGACAGAGAGTGAGACCCTGTCTCAAAAGAAAGGAAGAGAAGAGAAGAGAAGGAAAACAGAAACCAACTTTGGACTCAGCTGACGGCCCATCCTGAGGGTACCAGGTAGCAGATGCTGGGACCTTCTTCAGGTGGATGCCACACAACATTTTCTTTGCAGGTGTCCATGCTGATGTTCACAGGGCACACAGCGTTTCAGCTGAAGAAAGAACTGGCAGGATTTTCATCAAGAAAGGGCACTATCATTTATGAAAATGAAGCATATAAAGTAAAAGTTTGGAAACAGAAATGAATTAAATCTTCGGACGGATTTTAAAATAAGATTTAAAAAAGAGCAAGACATGCCATGTTCTTGGATGGAGAAACTTAACACCAGAAAAATGTCAGTTTTCCCATTTTTCCCATAGAAATGTAATGTAATTCAAATTACATTACCAACAGGATAATTTTTTTAAAACTGGATAAAATGATCTCAAAGATTATATGGCAGAATAAATGCCCAAGAACTACCAGGGAAGGCTGGGAAAAAACTGCTGTGGGGGTTTTGTTTTCCTGGAAATAAGAACATACTACAAAGTCACTGTAATCAGATCAATATGACAGTGGTAGCGGACTAGACAATGGAAAGGAATGGAGAATACAAAAATAGATTTCAGGATACATGAGGAGGAGATATATGACAAAGGCAGCATTTTGATTTGGTGGGAGAAGGGCGTATTGTGAAGTCAGTGGTGCCAGCTACAACTGAATATCCATCTGGAATAAAATAAAATTGCACTCCTCTTAGAGATCCAAATCAACTTCAGATGGATTAAAACTTTGAATGTAAAAAATATAAATGACTAACAGTCCTGCAAAAAATCTTGGAGGCGACCTGTGCCATCTGGAGAGCGGGAAGAATACGTGCAAAGGTCAGGGGCGGAGCGGCCCAGCATGTTCTGGAAAAGGTAGGGGCCCCCAAGGCTGGGATGATGGTGGAGACGTGGGTGTGTGAGAGCACAGGAGTGGGGTGCATGGGCCAGGAACACCCAGAGAGGGGCTGGTGCTCTGCCGTAGGCCCGCACCCCAAAGCGCGGTCATTCCCAGCACCATCTTCACGGGTTTCTGCCCAAGTCTTTCTGCTGCATCTCTTCCTTCCCTGACTCCTTAATCATTTTTTAAAAATCCATTCATGTCTTTATAAACCAAGTGATTTCCAAAAGGCAAATTTATGTTACTGCCAAAATCAAGAGCTAGTGAGCTAGTTAGGTAATTTTCTGGATCACATGGAAATAAATGCGTGGACCATTAAGAA